GACCAGGATGGTCTCGATCTCTTGACCTCATGATCCACCCGCCTCGGCCTCCCAAAGTGCTGGGATTACAGGCTTGAGCCACCACGCCCGGCTAGATTTCTTTTTTTTTATTCTTTTGAGACAGAGCCTCCCTGTTTCCCAGGCTCGAGTGCAATGGCGCAATCTTGGCTCACTGCAACCTCTGCCTCCAGGTTCAACCTGCTTCAGCTTCCCAAGTAGCTGGGATTACAAGCGCCTGCCACCATGCCTGGCTAATTTTTTATATTTTTAGTAGAGACAGGGTTTCACTACATTGGCCAGGCTGGTCTCAAACTTCTGACCTCAGGCAATCTGCCTGCCTTGGCCTCCCAAAGTGCTAGAATTACAGGTGTGAGCTACCTCGCCCAGTCTTAGATAGGTTTCAGTACACAAATACTTACCATTGTGTTGTGGTTGCCTACAGTAGAGAGTACAAAAATGTGCTGTACAGGTTTGTAGCCTAGGTACAACAAGCTCTACACAGCTTCTACCTAGGTGTATAGTAGCCCGTACCATCTAGGTTTGTGTAAGTACATGCTGTGTTTGTACAATGATGAAATACCCTAAGGACACATTTCTCAGAACATACCCATCATTAGGCAATGCATGACTGTAAGTATATGTGTGTACATGTATGTGTGCACATGTATATAAAGAGATTTATTTGAAGGAATTGGCTCATGGAGTTCTGGAGATGGATAAAGCCCAAGATCTGCAGGTGAGTTGGCAAACTGAAAACCCAGGAGAACTGATGGTGTAGTTCCTGTCTGAAGGCCAACAAGCTGAGACCCAGGAAGAGCTGATGTTTCCGTTCAAATCTAAAGGCAGGAAAAAGCCAGTGTCCCAGTTTAAAGGCAGTCAAACAAGAAGAATTCTCTCTAACTTGGAAAGGAGCCAGCCTTTATATTCTGTTCAGGCCTTGAAATGATTGGATGAGGTCTATTGACAGTAGAGAGGGCAATTTGCCTTACTCAGTCTACCAATTTAAATGTTAACCTCATCCTAAAACACTTATAGAAACACCCAGAATAATGTTTGACCAAATACCTGGATACCCTGTAGCCTAGTCAAATTGATACATAAGGTTAACAATCACATGTATATATAATTATGTTTTAATATCTTTAAAATTGGGATGCACGTATAAACAATGCACCTTAGATACAGTGAAATCTGATGGTGGGGGTCATGAAGGGGATGAGATTGACTCTCTGAATGAAGTGTTCGTATGGTGATGCCCCTGCAAAATTTCCCTTAGGTTTTTGAGGTCTTATAATTCAATAACCCCTAGAAGTTAGAGGGAAAAAAGTAGAAGGACTGGCTGATGATTGGTTTTGAGATTCTAGCAGATTTTAATCAGCAGTATTGAATAAGCATCTGATGTATATAACTCAGGAGCATTGCATGACTGCCTTCTACAGACCAGTCAGAAGATGGCTTCCTGATGCAAGCAGGGCGGATTAAGCTTTGAAGGGGTTGGCAGTAAGAAAGGGAGGCAAGAACAGGTGAGGGAAAGACGAGAGGGGATTAGCATAAACTACAGCTAAATTGGATTGTGTGGAAATTGAAATCTGGTGAGGATGTCAGCATCCTAGTGGAAATAGAGTGATCTCATAGAACACTTGGGTTTGTAGAATTTCTGAGTTTTAAGTATTGGAAGGTATCAAGACCATCTATACCAGCACTGGCACTATAAATATATTGCAAGCCACAAATGTAAGCCATACATGTAATTTAAATTTTCTAGTAGCCACATTTAAAAAGAATAAAAAGAAACAGGTGAAAATAATTGTAATATATTTTATTTAACACAGTATATCTAAAATACCACCATTTTTTCTGGATGCGGTGGTTCATGCCTGTAATCCCAGAACTTTGAGAGGCCAAGGTGGGCAGATCATTTGAGGTCAGGAGTTTGAGACCAGCCTGGTCAACATGGTGAAAGCCTGTCTCTACTAAAAATACAAAAATTAGCTGGGCATGGTGGCAGATTCCTGTAATTCCAGCTGCTCAGAAGACTAAGGCAAGAGAATCACTTCAACCTGGGAGGTGGTGGTTGCAGTGAGCTGAGATTGCGACACTGAACTCCAGCCTGGGAGACATAACAAGATTCTGTCTCAAAAAAAAATACTACCATTTCAACATGTAGTCACATGCATTATTTATTTTTATTTTTTATTTTTTGAGACAGAGTCTCACTCTGTTGCCCAGGCTGGAGTGCAGTGGCACGATCTCAGCTCACAGCAACCTCCACCTCCCATGTTCAAGTGATTCTCCTGCCTCACCTTCCAAGTAGCTGGGACTACAGGCGCATGCTACCACATCCAGCTAATTTTTTGTTAGTAGAGATGGGGTTTCGTCGTGTTGGCTAGGCTCTTCTTGAACTCCTAACCTCAGGTGATCCACCTGCCTCAGCTTCCCAAAGTGCTGGGATTACAGGCGCAAGCCACCGTGCCCGGCCTCCATTCTTTGTTTTATACTGAGTCTTCAAAATCCAGTATGAATGAAGAAACTTAAAAAGCCCAACACAAATAGTTACAGAATGCCCTGGGCTCCTCATTTTAGGAGTCCTTTCTCTATATTCTGCTACAAAAATTCTACTTATGACAAAGACCTTGAGAAATGATTTTGTCAAAGGTGGAAGAATCAAATGCAGTGACCTCAAGCAGGACAGGAAGTGTCTGAAAGAGCTAACAATGAACTGAGAGGAAAGATGGGTCGACTGATGCCTAATTAAAGGATCTAATGGACCATGAGCCAGGCTTTGCCCAGGAGGGTGCAAGGTAGAAGGAGAAAGAGAGAAAGTTGGCATCTGGAGGAGAAAAATGTGTGAAGCGGATCAGGCTGAGGACTCAGTGGTGTTTGTCTCTCCTACCCATTTCCATCTTCTGTTCAACCACACAGGCAGCCGAACTCTCCATCAAGTTTCTGCCTCCCCAACGTAATATTGAAGTTGTTCTGGCTGTAGGACCCCAGCTGATTGGAATTGGAAAGCACAATGCAGTAAGTGGGATGTGGGATGGAACAGAAATAGATTCCACAGAGATGGGTACAAAGGTGACATCTACACCCAGGGAAGTGTATGAGGTGGGCCTCCTGGTGGGCATGGCTTGCAGTCCTGGGAAAACAGATGAGGGAGCTCACAGAGGGAAGACTGAGAGTGACGAGAAAGTCTCCATGCTGACTTCTCATTGTGCAGGCTGCAGAGCTCTATCTGAATCTGGACCTGGTCAAGGAAGCAATCGATGCTTTCATCGAGGGTGAGGAGTGGAACAAGGCTAAGCGTGTAGCTAAGGAGTTAGATCCCAGGTAAGCTCGCAACCCCTTCTTACTGGGAAATTCTGTTTTACTTCCTTTTGTAAAGACTGGGAGAAAGTCTCATGGGGAGGGTTTGGTATTCTGGAACATGAAGATGGAGCTCTCTGTACATCTTCACAGGTATGAAGACTATGTGGACCAATGTTATAAAGAGTTCCTCAAGAACCAGGGCAAAGTGGACTCGGTGAGACTTGCAGAGTTAGCAGGAGGCAGAATGCAGGGAGAGACCCACAAGAGTCTCTCCCTCTTCTTTCCCTCATGTCATCTCTTTTCCCTTGTAACTCTGTCTTCCATTGACCCAGCTTGTGGGTGTGGATGTGGTAGCTGCTTTGGACCTGTATGTGGAGCAGGGCCAGTGGGACAAGTGCATTGAAACAGCTACCAAACAGGTACTGCTCTCTTCCCATTCCCAGCTTTTCTTTACATTTTCCCTTGATTCCCCACCTGCCTCAAAGCTGCATCTCTCTTACCTCCACAAAAACCCAAAGCCCAAAGATAATCTAATGGGCATCAGAGAAGCTTAGTCTGAAACTGGGGTCAGAGGTTTGCATACACCCTTTGTCTCCTCAACAAATCCATGGCCTCAAGTCACCATTCTACCCTCACTGCTTGGTCTTGCTGATTCCAACCTCACCCATGCTTTTCCTCCACCCCTGTACAGAACTACAAGATTCTGCACAAGTATGTGGCTTTGTATGCAACTCACTTGATCCGAGAGGGTAGTTCTGCCCAGGCATTGGCCCTGTATGTACAGCACGGAGCCCCTGCTAACCCACAGGTACCTGCCTTCTTGGGTTGAATGTTTCCACAAGGAAACTGTTTCTCCTCTCCTCTCAGGAACTATCTTCTCAGAGGATTCTATCCTTAGAGAACGTCATGCCCAGGGCCCCCCATGCATCTTCAGAAATGTACAGCCTCTCTGGAGGCTGTGTATTTGCTAAGAACATGGGGAGAAGTTTGCAGAAACTTCCAACTTCTGTTTAAAGAAACACCCATGGAGCTCCTCATGCTGTTAGCAAATACACAGCCACCTGTCTTTCAGAGATGAATCCTACACACACCTCTAGGGCCTTTATTGACTTCCTCCAGAGAATGAACACTGCTCCCTCATCTGAGAGTCACAGCCCATTAATGTTGTAACTCTGTACTTATATTTGTACAGTTGCCCACTCACACAGCACCAGCTAAGAAAGTTATTTTCTTCCTCTTTTCTCTTTATCAAAAATAAAAAGCACTTACAAATAATTCACTTCATTAAAAATAATCAGCACTTAATAATCTACCACTGTCTCCCAGCTCTTGAACACACACATACCCGCTTCTACACACAAAGCCTGTCCCTTTTGCCCCACTTCCACTGACCTTCTCTTCTAGCTATGCCCTTCTCAGGTGCCCTTCTCCCCTCTACCTCTAGAACTTCAATATCTACAAAAGGATCTTCACTGACATGGTGAGCTCTCCTGGGACCAACTGCGCTGAGGCCTATCATAGCTGGGCTGATCTTCGAGATGTCCTTTTCAACCTGGTGAGGAAGTTGGGTTGACAAGAGTAAAAGGGCTGCTCTGCCTGTCCCTGTCTTCATCTCTTCTTTCATGCATTTACCTTTATTCTCAGATGTATTTTACCTTCCTCTGCCAGGTGGCCATCGGAGACCACTCTATGGCCCTGGCACTCCTCTGACCCCTGAGCCAGGCTGTGCTGTCTCCCTCTTCTAGTGTGAAAACTTGGTGAAGTCCAGTGAGGCAAACTCTCCAGCCCATGAGGAGTTCAAGACGATGCTGCTGATCGCTCATTACTATGCCACACGCTCTGCAGCCCAGAGTGTCAAACAGCTGGTGAGATGTAGAGGGGACAGAGGAGCACTAAGTCAGAAGGGCTCATCTGCAAATGTATGAAACTGAATTGTCTCACATTCTGGATTCTTCAACTTGGGCTCTTGAATCTGCCCCCTCTCTTTCAGCTTCTCTTCTGTCTAAACAAATCTTTAGCCCTTGCTGAGGTTTTCTTCTTCTCACCTTCTTAGGGCTCTGTGCCCACACAGCTCCAGCTTCATTATGTTTAAACATCCAAATTCCATGATTTCTGTATTCACTTCTTGTAATGTACACATATTTTGGGCTTATTTGTGACTGTTTACTATATATTTATTTCATGTACTTGGATAATAGAATTCTAGAAGTGGAAAGAACCTTAGAAAGAATCTAGGTGGCTAGGCACAGTGGCTCACACCTGTAATCCCAGCCCTTTGGAAGGGGAGCCTGAGGTAGGTGGGCCACTTGAGGTCAGGAGTTTGAGACCAGCCTGGCCAACATGGCAAAATCCCATACTAAAAATATAAAAATTAGCTGGGCGTGATAGTGCACGCTTGTAGTCCTAGCTACTTGGGAGGCTGAGGCACGAGAATTGCTTGAATCTGGGAGGCAGAAGTTGCAATGAGCTGAAATGGCATCACTGCATTCCAGCCTGGGCAATAGAGTAAGACTCTATTTAAAAAAATAAAAAATAAAAAAAATTGAAACTAGGCCCAGGTCTCTTATTCAGAAAAAAAAAGAAAAAAAAAAAAAACCGAAGACCCAGAACAGCTTGGAGAGAACGGTATAATATTGCTTGTTGTTTTTAATTCTGTGGCTGCTTTACAGGATCATTAGTCTGTAGCTCAGTCACTTTAGTGCCATATTCATAATGCTTTGACTTTAATCCCAGGAGACTGTGGCTGCCAGGCTTTCTATTTCACTCTTGCGTCACACCCAGCTACTACCCGTAGACAAAGCCTTCTATGAAGCAGGCATTGCTGCCAAGGTGAGCTGGGACAAGGAAGGGTGGGGCAGATGGGAGGAAGTCAAAGGTTGGAAAACAGAGAATATCCCTTCTGCTCAGGTAGCAGAAAGCTCAGTGTAGGGCTGAAGTTGTGGAGGATATAATCCTCCTATGTCTTCCTGGATTTTTCTCCTGCATCCCAGAGTAGTAACATCCAGGCCCAGCTTGCTCACTCCCATTTGCAACTTTTCTCTGCTGCAGGCAGTTGGCTGGGAGAACATGGCATTCATCTTCCTCAATCGCTTTTTGGACCTGACCGACGTGAGTAGGGAAACTGTGCCCTGAGGGTGGGGTGTTTTGCCAGTCACAGGCTGTGCCTAGCTCATGGTTGCCCACTCTACTGCAGGCAATCGAGGAAGGGACTCTGGATGGCCTTGACCACTCTGATTTTCAAGATACAGACATTCCTTTTGAGGTGCCACTCCCAGCCAAGCAGCATGTACCGGTAAGGGCACAGGGCTGGAAAATGAGAAGACCTCACCAGTGTGAGTGCCTTGAGGAGGGAGAACATCTTTGTGCTGCCATCTTTGGAAGGACCTCAGCCCTCACTATTCTTTCTGTGAAAGTAGAAGCAGAGTAGAACAGAGAGAAAAGGCTGTGACTGGGTTGGTGCGGTGGCTCACGCCTGTAATCCCAACACTTTGGGAGGCCAAGGTGGGCAGATCACAAGGTCAGGAGATCAAGACCATCCTGGCTAACACAGGGTTTCACCTAAAAAACACAAAATGGGGTCTCAACTAAAAACACAAAAAATTAGCCAGATGTGGTGGCACATGCCTGTAGTCGCAACTACTCAGGAGGCTGAGGCAGGAGAATCGCTTGAACCTGAGAGGCAGAAGTTGCAGTGAGCCGAGATTGTACGACTGCACTCTAGCCTGGCAACGGAGTGAGACTCCGTCTCAAAAAAAAAAAAAAAAAAAAGAAAAGGCTGTGACTGCATCCCCCAATCCAAGCCAGTCCAAGGAGGATCATTTGTAGCTGAAAGCTGGTATGTGGTATACAGGACAAGGGCTTAGCAAACTCCCCTCCATACTCCTCCACCCCAGTTTGCCCTCCCCTGCCCTGTGTGAAGCTGCCACTGCCTCTTGTCCTTTCCAGGAGGCTGAGAGAGAAGAGGTTCGAGACTGGGTGCTTACAGTCTCCATGGACCAGCGGCTGGAACAGGTTCTGCCTCGGGATGAGCGTGGCGCCTACGAGGCCTCCCTGGTGGCAGCAAGCACTGGGGTTCGAGCCCTGCCCTGCCTCATTACAGGTATAGAACTCTACAGCACCCCAGATCCTGTGGGGGGGGTGGGGGAGTGGAAAGCAACAGGATCAATAAACTTAATTTAAAATTTTACTAGGATTCAGTAAAGGGTACAAAAGACAGGACCATGCTGCTTTGTACCCCCAGGCTGCTCCTCATTTTTCCTTCCTCAATCTCTCTCAAACCTCAGTTCATCATTTTTTCTTCCTCCACAGGATACCCCATTCTGAGGAACAAAATTGAATTTAAGCGGCCAGGGAAAGCTGCTAACAAGGACAACTGGAATAAATTCCTTATGGCCATCAAGGTTAGAGAGGGGGACTTGAAGAATGAAGGCAGATAGGGCAGCACTTAAAAAAAAAAAAAAAAACAAGGCCAGGTGTGATGGCTCACGCCTATAATCCCAGCACTTTGGGAGGCCAAGGAGGATGGATCACCTGAGGTCAGGAGTCTGAGACCAGCCTGGCCAACATGGTTAAAACCTGTTTCTACTAAAAAAACAAAAATTAGCCAGGTGTGGTGGTGTGCGCCTGTAATCCCAGCTACTCAGGACGCTGAGGCAGGAGAATCACTTAAACCCAGGAGGAAGAGGTTGCAGTGAGCCGAGATCACGCCACTGCACTCCAGCCTCAGTAACAAAGCGAGACTCCGTCTCAAAACAAACAAAACACACACACACACACTCTCTCTCTCTCTCTCTCTCTCTAGAAAGGTGGGTGGGATTGCAGGAAGGCAAGTGCAGACCCTGAAGCGTGTGATGGAGCTGATTTTCTCTGTATTTCCAGCATTAACAAGTTCCTCTCATCATCTTCCATTTGCTCACAGACTTCCCACAGCCCAGTGTGCCAGGATGTGCTGAAATTCATCAGTCAGTGGTGTGGAGGGCTCCCCAGCACCAGCTTTTCCTTTCAGTAGCCGGTAAAGCTGAGGAAGAATTAGGGCCTCTCCCTCATTAAAGTTTTATAAGAAAGTAAGACCACTGTATTCTTTGATCAAAGTCACCCCCAACACCACACAGTGCCTTTTCCCCAAAATGAATCATAATCAAGTAGAAGAAAAGTTATTTTATTACAATTTTTTATCTCATCCCGTGGTCAGGGCCCCTTGCTTAGTGCGGAAAAATCCCTTAGGGATTGAGTCTTGGAACAGCACCTGCTGGACAGAGTGGAGAACCAACCTGGGTCAGAGGGGAAAGCAGCATGGCAAGACCTAGACCCAGTTCTAAGAGCACTTCCCTGCCCCCAGTCTTACCCAGGCCACCACCTTCAAGACCCATTACCTGTCCTAAACCCAGCTTCTCTGTGATCCTCGGATCTCTTGATTTTGATCCAGCAGCTGCTCATTTTCCTGCCTTTTACATTTAGGAGGTTCAAGCTCTGTCATTTCCTCTAGCTGCAAAAGAAGGTGGAGTTAGACACCCTGGCCCTGAATGATAGGTCACCAGCTTTTTTTTTTTTTTTTTTTTTT